AATGCATTGTCATTGTTTTTATGTAAGAGTTAATACAACGTTAAGTAGACATTGAAGAACATTATAATTAATTCTAATTAGAGTATTTCGTAGAGTTCATCAATGCTTTCAACGCATGTTCAGATTATATTATCATTTTAATAAATAGTAATTGATGTATCGGTCTGATTTTTAATTTTTGTGATTTCAGTGGGTTTAGCGGTGCTGTTATTCTTCCTGTTTGCCAAACCGTACAAACGCGGATTCTTCTGCAATGACGAGTCCCTCTCTCACCCGTTTCACTCGTCGACGGTAACCAGCACGATGCTCTACGTCATTGGCCTTTTCCTACCAATATGCACGGTGAGTCACCTACCTGCCACGAATCTCGATTAACCGCTCCAAATAGCGTGCATCGCGTCAGCTATCTAAGCAGTCATGTCTGTTCCAAACCTTTTTTGCAATCAGCAAAATGGATCAAGCTTCAATCTTTAAACCCCCAGCATCAGTTATATTTAACATGTACACGTCTTTAAAAAGTTATACATAATGAGATTATTAGAATGTGAGTGTTTATGCAAATTCCTATTTTTTTAATAAATAAAATTAAAGAAACGAAGTGCATACATTTGTTTCCTTCTTTAAATATTATAAATTATATTCTACTTTGGATATTTTATATTTCTTTACATATCACTTAATATTGTGTTTTTTTAAATTATTTAAAATTCCAATAAATGCACAAACATCCGCAGTCCAGTGATTATATAAAGTACTCAATTCTTGAGTCGATATTTCGTTTTTACAATTCAAAACTTTAATGGTTTTAAAAAGAATATTTTATTTATATTCAACCTTCGCATGGTAGACTGAATATGAAAATGTGTTTCTTCTTTCAAGACTCGGCCACTTATTCATTCGATTCGTTCAGTTTCTGGTTTTATAATTATAGAATAGTTTTATTTCGAAACAAGACGTGGTTCTAAGTTTGGTACTAAATATCGATGTCTGATAATTCCACCAATGGGATTGGGTGTAAAATCGTTAACGTCTTGATAACTCATACGATTCACTGATAACTTTTCTTATTAACATCCTGCTATCTTTTCGATGACTTCAACGTTGTACAACGTCACGCGCAGTATAATTTTTTCCACAATCATTACAAAACCATGTGGCAACCTGTTTAGTGTTATTAAAACGTGAAGCAAACCTAGAAGGTCGTAGTCAGATAAGGTATCGGTGATGCAACGTGAGTTTACCCGCAATTAATTCAGTCTTCACCTTGAATCGTATACGTGGTTAAATAGCTTCATTATTCTAAGTCTATTAAAAATTGTATTTTAAATACGATTGAAAAATCATAACAAGAATAGTCATTTGAAATTAGCAAATATATATAATTTGATTTAACGATAAATTTCTAAATATGAATTTTGGCAAAAATTTAGTTTTTTCTAATTTATCTGCTCGATAAACTTGTTACTCCGTTCGCGAATGGTACTGAAAATAATAAATGACTAACGTGAGTTTGCTTAGCCCGTTACACACCTTGAATCGGCCAGTTTACGAGCACCGCGATGCCACACAGGCTCGAGATAGCCAATGTCGTAAGACATATCGCGCAGGATCTATAAATACCGTCGAGCTATCTACGGAATTCGAACGATTTTCCATCGAAGGCTGCGCACAAGTGGAAAAAATGATGTAGATATTCCGCGGAAACCACCGGTTTCTCTCTTCGTACATCTGCCCGGTTCCCTTTGCCAGTCTGTAGCTACGAAGGATGCAAATAGAGGATGCGGGGCCTCTCCCTTAAGCGCGCAAAAATACTCGGCCGTGCACGTGCACCGCTTCTTCCAGATACCGTAAATCGATTCCCACGAAACTTTAACGAACGCTTCTTTCGTCGTCACGTCCCATATGTGCGGACATCCTTATGCCGCTCGCTTACATATTATACGTTTAGTTCGCTTTCCCCCACTGATTCGCTCTCGCCGACGACGACGTGCCCTCCGACGACTGACGGCCTCGTCGACAGGTCTTGAAAACCATCTACGACTTATCGAACTACACTCCCGTGCAAAAGGCGCCAGATAAAATCATTCACACGCTTTCCTTATAATATCTTTGACAGACTTTCCATGAATATAAAACAATAATAACAATAATATCACGAGAATGATCACTTATTTTGTACTATAATCTTGTTATATAATTATTGGACAATTATTTGAATTTAATAAATTGGACTTGATAAGGTGAATATGAGTAAATTT